GTGGGGCCTGAACTCTGGGCCTGGGTGCTGTCCCTCAGCTCTTCAGCTCAAGGCTAGCACTCTACCACTTGAGCCACAGCACCACTTCCGGCTTTTTTTTCTTTTTGCTTATGTGGTGCTGAGGAATCGAACCCAGGGCCTCTGGCATGCAAGGCAAGCGCTCTACCACAGAGCCACCTTCCCAGCCCTCTTGGTAGTTTTTTTAAACATCTGAAAGTAAACCCTGTTTTTTCCCTCAGGATGTTTCAATAAAGACCAAGTGTACTTGGATGGAACCCTCCAGATCCTCCGATACAGGCGCTCTATAGACTTCTACCTGCTGACTGCCCTGGGGAAGGTGAGTGAGCAGAATGGCTCGAGACCCCTGACCCTAGGCCAGCATTGCTGTAGCCTGGTTCAGGAGTGAGATTCGTATATCCCACTGCTGCTCCACCAAGCTTCCCTGGGTGGTCGCAGAAGGGAGAGAAAGCACGCTTCCGTCATAGGTACAGGGCAGAGTGTCTTTGGAGTCATAAGAGATAAGGAGAGAAATGGAAATTTGGGCAGTGTGTATCATTTTATTTTTACATTTATCTTCCCTAATAAGCATTTCAAAGTCAAGGTACAGCTGCACCACTTTCCCCTACAACACTTTTCCCTAAGAATCAGGTGTTCTCTGACATGACTGCACAATGTCTTAAATTCATCACTGATTGAACATGAAACATTGAAAATGCAGCACTGAACACCAGGAATAAGAAAAAATACAACTGTAACCCCTCTGTATATCACCTTCACAGTAACAATAATTTAATGAAAAAAAAATCACATACAGTCCACTTCAAATTTCCCAAATTGTTTCCAAAATATCCTTGAGAGCTCTTTGTTTTCTGTGATCCTGGATCAAATCAAATTTATGCATTTTAAAAATAATCTTTATGTCTGTTAATATGAAACAGTTCCCTACCCTATTCTTTTTTTGTATTGTTTTATTGTAAAGATACTGTACAGAGGGGCTACAGTTACATGAGTAAGGTAGTGAGTACATTTCCTATTGAGCATTGTTACCTCCTCCTTTGTTTTTCCCCTGCCATTCCTTCCTTCCCCACCTCCCTGACTCCTCCTTCCCTCACCCCCTGAGTTGTAAAGTTTGTTTTCAACATAGTGTCTTGTACATCTCATTGTTACTGTGGGTCAGCCTGGATCCTTATTTCAGCTTTTTGTTATTTCCCTTCCCCTCCCCAAATTATAAAAATGTATATACAAGATGCAGGGCACTGGAATCAAATGCAGTGAGACACACACACACACACACACACACGCTCACACACACACACACACACACACACACACACACACACAGGAATTCTATGCCTCCATCAGAAATGGAGAGACTTGGAAAAAATTATATTAAGTGAAGTAAGCCAGGCCCAAAGAAACATAGGTCCCATGGTTTCCCTTATTTGCAATAACTAGTATATGTCTAGAAAAAACATATAAGATGATGCTAAGTGAAATGAACCCCCAAATGGGGGTGGTTTTCTCTTCCTTGCTATTGTTTTTAATGTATTTATAATGTACTATGTGATTTTTTTGCTTCTTTTGTATATTCTACCCTATTCTTTTTTAAAGACATCTTTAAGAGATAAAATGGTTGTCTTGAAAACTTCTGTGGTGATTCTCAGGTTGCTTTCTCCTCAGTTGATTCAGTTAACCCCTTTTTGTCCAGAACTCTGCAGAAGTGAGGCATGTTTCCACAGGAAACACATGCCCTTTGCCACCATCGTTAGTGATGCCAGAAGTGATCTCCTGATCAAATCAGTGGACCGCAGATCCCATTGTAAAAACATGCTTCCTCTGATGTATTAGTGCGTCATCTGTGGGGTGGTGGTCTAGGAATCTGAGATTAGCCCTTCAATGAAACTCCAGTTCCTTTTAGTGAGAAATGTTATTTAGAAAATAATATCTGAACATGTCTTGATACTTAAGTGCGATTGCTTCTAGACAGTTTCAAGGAGCAGATTATATATATATATATATATATAATTTTTTTTTTGGTCCGTTCATGGGGCCTGAACTCTGGGCCTGGGCGCTGTCCCTCAGCTCTTCAGCTCAAGGCTAGCGCTCTACCACTTGAGCCACAGTGCCACTTTCGGCTTTTTTCTTTTTTGCTTATGTGGTACTGAGGAAGCGAACCCAGGGCCTCATGCATGCAAGGCAAGCGCTCTACCACTGATCTACTTCCCAGCCCCAAGCAGATTATATTTTTAAGGAATCTTAAGGGCATTCCAATTCAAGCAAGTCTCTACAGGAATTTTTCACATGTACCCCCATTTCATATTTGTATCTCCATTCTCTTTAGATAAGAGCCTTGTTTCCTTTTTCCTACAGTTAGAGTTATACCGGGTTCTATGCCAGACTACCACAATAAAGGGTCCCACAATTATTATTATTTTTATTTTTGGGGGTACAGTCGTGGGGCCTGAACTCTGGGCCTGGGCGCTGTCCCTCAGCTCTTCAGCTCAAGGCTAGCACTCTACCACTTGAGCCACAGCGCC